AATTATTGGCAAATTCAAAAGATTGTAGCATAATGACGGAAGTGTTGTATAATCGGGTTTTTAATATTAACTTCTGATCAGAGCAAGCTCCCCACTTAGCGAGACTAACATTCAACTCGATATAGCTAGTGGCTGTAGTGAATTAAACGTACGTTTCTTACATTCTTATGTTAGAATGCATCGTTTCATCAGCTGGGTACCCTTGCTTATTAACTTCTGATCAGAGCAAGCTTCCCACTTAGCGAGACTAACATTCAACTCGATATAGCTAGTGGCTGTAGTGAATTAAACGTACGTTTCTTACATTCTTATGTTAGAATGCATCGTTTCATCAGCTGGGTAACAACTAACCTGTATACAAGGCTGCTGAAGGTTTATACACAGGCCATCAGAATCTTTGCTGTAGTGCTCCACCAGTTCCTGAACCGTACAGAAAGTTGTACGACGAACAATAAAGAAGCCTCCTTCATCCATCTGTCTGACACGATAATGCTTGACGGTGTCTCCATTTTTAACTAATAGCAGAAGTTAACTCTTTAATCTCACATTTTATACTAAATACAATTAAACACATCTGACTTAGTAACGAATTTTTACCCTTATTTTTAGAACAAAATATACAGGTCTAACCTCAAATTATATTTTATTGTTACTTTAAGCCCAAATTATAACATTTTTTTATGATAAAACAATACTTAGACACATAATTAGTAGCTGAACAAAAGGAATAGAAAGAGGCAACAAAAACATGTATTGTAAAAAGATATTTAATAATTTATTCAACAGCAAATTTCATTAATTCAAATGGTTTTTTGACTGTATCTAAAACTCGGGGAAATTCTAAATTCTTTATTAATGAAGTTATACTATAGGAATGATTCTGTAATGTCACACCGATTAAGGAAGTTTTTTTTTTTTTCATTATTCATAAAATACTCATTCCAAATCCTACTGAGGACAAACCGACAGATCATACCTGAAAGAGAAAAGTCACCATGACGACTTTCGCTGTCCCTGACGAGAAACGCTCCACGTTCATTTTCCGGCAACAGTAGCGTTTTCTCTGCTTCGGTTCTCTTTATCTTACCAAAATACCATCTGCAAGTCACAAAAAGTATTTATTCAGCAGTATTCTTACAATGACGCCTATCAAGCTAGCATTCCAATGGTATATATATATATATATTATTTGACTTTGTTCACAGACACAAATACACCTTACTACCCTCGGGTGTTATCACTAGAAATAGTTAAACCATTTAAAAGTAACCTAATTCTTATAAGTTGGCTGAAACTCGTGAAATATTATTGAGATCTCAGCAAAAAATGTTGCTAACAGCAATGGTCAACTTAAGACTAGGTATTCCCAGTCCTCAACAACTTAAGACTAGGTATTCTGGTCCTCAACAACTTAAGACTAGGTATTCTGGTCCTCAACAACTTAAGACTAGGTATTCTGGTCCTCAACAACTTAAGACTAGGTATTCTGGTCCTCAACAACTTAAGACTAGGTATTCTGGTCCTCAACAACTTAAGACTAGGTATTCCAGTCCTCAACAACTGAAGACTAGGTATTCTGGTCCTCAACAACTTAAGACAAGGTATTTCGGTCCTCAACAACTTAAGACGAGGTATTTCGGTCCTCAACATAAGACTAGGTATTCCGGTCCTCAACAAATTAAGACTAGGTATTCTGGTCTTCAACAACTTAAGACTAGGTATTCCAGGTTCTCAACAACATAAGACTAGGTATTCTGGTCCTCAACAACTTAAGACAAGGTATTTCGGTCCTCAACAACTTAAGACAAGGTATTTCTGTCCTCAACAACTTAAGACAAGGTATTTCTGTCCTCAACAACTTAAGACTAGGTATTCCGGTCCTCAACAACTTAAGACTAGGTATTCCAGTCCTTCCTCAACAACTTAAGACTAGGTATTCTGGTCCTCAACAACTTAAGACTAGGTATTCTGGTCCTCAACAACTTAAGACTAGGTATTAACTTTTACATTTAGCAAGGAAGTCCTTGGGATCCATTGTACCTGTATATCATAAAAATCACTTTTACGTTCAGCAAGGAAGTCCTTGGGATCCATTGTACCTGTATACCATAAAAATAACTTTTACATTTAGCAAGGAAGTCCTTGGGATCCATTGTACCTGTATACCAGTAAAAATCACTTTTACATTTAGCAAGGAAGTCCTTGGGATCCACTTTACCTGTATACCATAAAAATAACTTCTACGTTCAGCAAGGAAGGCCTTGAGATCCATAATTAAAAATGAATGTTTTTACATGAAACTGAATTGCCAGTAATTAACATATTTTTGTAAACAAAGACAAATATTTACCGATAACACTCATCTGGGTCGATAATTTTACAATACTACTAACGTATCAAATACATTTATGTTTTTAACATATGAAAAATTCAATATCAGACAAATACTTCTTGACAAGTAATACTGTTTACAGCTTATTGATACAAATTTGTTAACCACCGTTTTAGAAAATATTCAGGTTCCTTGCATTTTTATCTCCACCAACTAATATCAGTGTGATGTTTTAGTCTCACTCTGAGTAGATAGCTTGCTCTGATCAGAAGTTAAATATTGTAATTATAGTAATATTTTAGTTGACATTTTTCTTCACCTACACACTTACCTGGTTTCAAGGTTTTGATGGCCACAGGTGTGGTGTTGTTCCACAAACCTTCCCAAACTTGACCAAACTGACCTTGACCAAGTTTTCTAATAAATTTCAGAGAAGAACGTTCTATTTCCCACTGATCTCTTGTTCTATGGGAGAGGTCACTAGTTGTCGGCTTTTCGACCTGTAATTAAAACAAAAGGTCACTAGTTGTCGGCTTTTCGACCTGTAATTAAAACAAAAGGTCACTAGTAGTCGGCTTTTCGACCTGTAATTAAAACAAAAGGTCACTAGTTGTCGGCTTTTCGACCTGTAATTAAAACAAAAGGACACTAGTAGTCGGCTTTTCGACCTGTAATTAAAACAAAAGGTCACTAGTTGTCGGCTTTTCGACCTGTAATTAAAACAAAAGGTCACTAGTAGTCGGCTTTTCGACCTGTAATTAAAACAAAAGGTCACTAGTAGTCGGCTCTTCGACCTGTAATTAAAACAAAAGGTCACTAGTTGTCGGCTTTTCGACCTGTAATTAAAACAAAAGGTCACTAGTTGTCGGCTTTTCGACCTGTAATTAAAACAAAAGGTCACTAGTTGTTGGCTTTTCAACCTGTAATTAAAACAAAAGGTCACTAGTTGTTGGCTTTTCGACCTGTAATTAAAACAAATCACTTCACACTTGTTGTATACAAGCTGTAATAAACGAACCACACTTTTTGTAAAGGACACTTAAATGTTAGTTTTATAAGTTCTAACATGGAAAAAATTATATTTTATATTCAGCAAAACAATCTTTTATGGAAAAGTACAACAATTTCTGAAGTAGTGATCACCATTTTGGAATATGAAAATTTTAATAAACCCAGTTAAGATAACTACCTTGTTAATCAAAATAGTGGTAAGAAAACTTAAGACTAGGTATTCCAGAATTTTTATGGTATACAGGTACAATGGATCCCAAAGACTTCCTTGCTGAACGTAAAAGTGATTTTTATGA